GCTAAGATTTTTTTTGTGCGATTTTATCGTGTGTTACAATATGTTACTTCTATTTTTTCAACCTGAGTGCCGTATCCATTACCGATAACGTCAACACAATTCGCATTAGATTCTGAGAAACTGGTCCGATATTCTATTTTACTATCGAATGATTGAGTTTTTCAAACTATATTGCATCGTTTGATAAGCTTTTCTAAGCCAAACGAATACATTTTAAAATTTTGAACAAACCACTGATCAAATCATAATAATCAACCTAAGCAAGCAGTTAATAAAATTTTATCAGGACTATTTATATTTTTGAATCTGAGACTATCCGAGAATTTTTGAAAACTACCAGAAAACTTCGATTTTGTGTTACTGACATTTCACCGGTGTGTGCATCGGGAATTGCTTCTACGACTGCACGTATTGAAGCATCGGCTTGAGGCAATATATTGGTCATAGGGAGACAATTGCACGTGTGTCTTATTAAGGGTCTCATAAATACTGTTTTCTTACTTATGATAGACTTGCATTTGACGGCATTGTCTCAATAACTAAGTCGATTTTTATCAACACATTCATATGCCAATATGCCTTATTTGTTATGACTGAGCGAACGATCGAATAGTAAAAAGATCAAAGAGAAAAACAAAACGGGACGTGATAGAAGAGACAGAAAAGGAAAATCAAAGTAATCTTAGTCATTTAATTCAAATAGAATCACAAAAGTAAAGTGCGACAACAATAAAACATCCGATTTTCGCATATCTTCATACCTTTATACAAAAGTGATCCTAGTTTTAAAGTTCAAATATCAATATGAAATGTTGAATCATTAATAACGAACACTTCGGCTATTTAACATTGAAAACTATTTGCCTAACTAGCGAAGAGTAAAAAATAGTTACCAATATCTCAACACATTATAAAGTTGTTCGGTTTATTTTGTTAGAAATAGATCTATGTTATTCGATTATCGATCAAATAAATGTCTCTGTTAAATAAGACAATCTATGAAGAGAAAAGTGTTTCATTAAACTAAGAATGTTTTTAAACGACAGATTATTATTCTACATGTCGTAGATTACTTTGTTTTAGACTTGTAGAACATAACAGCAGATATTTTATTACAAGGAAAAATCAAGAAAACTCTAATAAGAAAAGTGATGGATCGACTCTGATATAGAGCATCAAAATATCGATACCCGCTCTTTTCAAAAATGAACAATGACTTTTCTTATTATGTATTTATTTATAGGTCAGGTGTTTTATGTCTTTTTTAGTCCGCAGATTTATACTTTATATCAAGACACGATCTCTCGACATCAGCTTCAAGCGAAAATAAAATTGTATCCATGAACGAAGAAGTTATTTTAAAAGATGAACAGCGTCCTCGGTGCACCCTTTATTGGATTATGGGAGAGAATGATGAAGAAAACAAAAGGAAAAGAAGGCGAGTATTTTTCTAAGTGAGATATGCTCTTATTTTGATTTATATTGACTGTAATTTAGAAGACGCGGAGCATTTATAACAAGTTGTTGCTGTTGCTGTACTGCGCTGGCTTTATTATGCTGTATACTTCTGGCAGCACTTCTGGCAGCAATTATTGTCTTAAGTATGTATTCAAGAAAAGTTAGGCAATTTAATCCATTCGAAAGTTTCAAACTGTGTCTCATATAAATTATTTGTTCATTGTCTAAGTTTTCTAATTATGATTTATTCGAATGTATGAAATGAATCGAATTATTTCAGAGATAAAAAAAATCTAGTTGACTGAATCTGTTCGTAGAGTATCTCAATGTATGTTAATAATCATCAGTTGACCAATCATAAATTGCTTATAGGTATTTTTTTCGAAACTATTTATTCGTTCTCTTCAATATCCTTTCTTCTGTAAAGCGGAGAATGGATTAGTTTCATTAAACTCACTTAGCTCAATCTTGAAAGCAAGAAATGATATTATAGAACATTGAATCCCCACATTACGAAATATATTCTTAAAAGAGACTGAAATGAATCCATGAAGCTTTTTATATGAACATAATCATCAGCAAGTACATAAACCTATTATGTTTTATGATAGCTTATAACTCAGCACATTCTTGTGCGTGTAGAAAGCATGTATTCATAGTAATGTAGAGACATATTTCACAAGATCTCGTTGGTGAAAGTGTGTACCGATGTGAATGTGTAACATATCATTTGTTCAAAAATTAAAAACCGATAAGAATTTCTTCTAGATATAAGATACTTGATAAGTTTTAGTGCAATCGCATCGCTTGCAAGACAGGAAATCACATGTTTTCATTCTAAAAGGTATGCTACAGAATAACAAAATGCGATCAAAAACTGAAATATTGTTACCTTGATTCATTCGAATAGACTGACATTTTGGTTTCTCGTAGAAACTTATATAAAGTTTTTTTTTCATACGGATGGTATAAAAAAAAGACTACCGTAAAATCACATTTTCACCCTCATTACAGAAACATCAGTCCTTTTGCAAGCCAGAAAATAACATATCGAGTGATTTATGAACAATTTTCAGTAGTTATCTACTACAATAATAAGTCAAAAAAAATCAATGACTGATACAACACTGATCTCAAGTCTTCAAAATTAGTCAACTCAAAAGGTGAAATCTGCCTACAATAAGTAAAATACAAAATTTCAGCATTTTGGATATCCACATACAAAACTGCATGATAAAAACAGATTTTCAAACTTGATTATTGCAAATGTTGTAACCGTTCAATGCTACATCAGCTACTTTCTGAAAACTCTCTCTGTGTGCATCGATATAGTGTCATTCATGAAGTGAACTGTTATTTCGAGTGGAGATGCAGGTTTGCACAAGGCTTAGTGAAGTTGTTCTCTTGTCTCACACTCACTACAATCATATTCCACACCAACACTACAATATAAACGTGTTTATTCATCTATGTTAGACATCATATTTTTTTGAGCTTGTACATCCACGGCACACCTGGAAAGTTTTTTTTTCTTGGCTGAAATAAATGTTACAATATAGAGTTGATAGTGTTGATCATGAATATCAATATGATTTTTGTCTAAAGTCTTTTAATAAATCACGATGCAAAATTTCTGCTGATTTTGACGCTATACAAAAATTGATGGTTTCCCTTGATTCTTGAATCATTGTCGTCTTGATTAAGCGTTCTAAATTTTTGAAAACATACTTCAAATAGACGATCGATTATCTTCTATCTAATGATGTGAAAATCACAGCATTTCACTACACGAAGCAGCTTTTATGATCGGATTACAAGCAAAAATTCTGGATAAATGTGATAGACGACTTTTTTAAATATCATACCATGTCGCACTCTTAAAGTTATATAGGTACATGGAGCGTTCTGCACTCTATCTAGTCATATCCTTGAATGAAAAAAAGTTGTTCTTTTCTGTAGAAAGCTAATATATTGAAGAAAAATTGCATTGTGTGTAACATTTTAGCGGTTTTTTGTGCGTTTTTTATCAAATTATTCTCGATCTTTTGGTTTTTTAAACCGTTTATGCTACTCATGTAGAAACTACATAAGCGCATAATATTTTACAGTTTCTAGTATCGGGTGTGAGTGTGACTGCGGCTGCGGCTGTTGGTCGCGCTATAGTTTTAGAGCCACAGCCCAAGTCACACCAACACCCATTTCGAAAATTTGTCACGATACATGTGTCATTGGTTCAGTGTATCATGGTTAATGCTTTGAATTTTAGTTCTTACTGCAAGCAACAAAACTACAACCACGACCACTAGCACAACCACAACCACGACAACTAGCACAACCACGACGACTAGCACAACCACGACTACTAGCAAAACCACAACAACGACTACTACCACCACAACAACAGAATGTGAGCGATATGTTTGAATGCGTATTTGAAGTCTTACATTCACAGAAATGATACGGTCCATTTACTCTGTATAGAAAAAAGCTTGCAGTACAATTTTTGCGAGATTCAAATGTAAAACACGATTAAGATGCTTCAATCTTATATTGGGACACCTGTGTAGATATAATAACTAATGTCAGAAACACCATATCCGTCTCTTGATATATCTATTACGGTGCTTAATTGCCACTAAGCGCATTATAATTGCAAAAAATATCGGTCAATGATCATTTTTTTGTCAGAAAGTATAATTTTGTAACGAAATTTCAGCAGCATAGCTGATTTTGTCATGTGCTGCAAGTAGATGCGTGGCTAAGACACTTTTTTAAACCTATTCTATCTCAGTTTCCACAAATTTTGGAATATAATATAATAGTTCAATTTAGCGCCTATCCTATCCTGTATTCTATTATGTTGATACTTTTTGATTCAAACGTCTCATGCCACCTTGATGTGCCTTTCAGTATATCAGTCATTGAATTTTTGAATGGAATTTTCATTATATTTATCGCTACAGATCAAAGAAGCCATTGTCTTTCGGTCAATTAATGATAATCGCAAACAATTTCTTACATACGAATCAGTTCATTAGCGATATCGTCTGCCAAACTCAACAGTTTGAAAGTTTGGAGGAATACTTTTTTTTACACGTGTTACACAATTGAAATGTCGCAGTATATTTAGCATCCTTTGAATCTGAACTGAGGTCATGTTTATCTTTTCTGAAGTATCTCAGCAACTGACGCAACTATCTATCAGTGATTGGCAGCCCAAATCGAATTTATTTTGTCATTTTAGTTGCATGCTATCCTGAATGTAAGAATGGTGGAACATGCATCCGAACAAACACATGTTTATGCACAACTGGCTTTAGCGGTTCAGCTTGTGAAATTCGTATGTTGGATGTTTTATTTAATAGTTGCTTCTATTTAAGCGTTTTTGCATTATTGTTCTTTTTCCAGAATCTGTTGGCTTATGTTCTGATGAAAACACAACCAGCGCAGCTCCAATTTTCTTGATTACATTTGGCTCTGGTCCAGCTACGTTTTCTTTAGAAACACCTGCTAACTTCAGTTTCACAACAAGTTATCAGCAAATGTTCACAACTCCAATATCAGATGGCTATTTTGGTTTTACTAATGCAGTTCCTAGTAGTACCATTGTTTGGCATGGAGGAGCTACGGATCATACACCTAATGACATTGGTGGATACATGTTTTTCGCCAATGCAGATCCTAATCCTGGCCAGTTTTATAAGGGCATTGTCGATAATTTGTGTATTGGTCAGCGATATGAATTTTCTGCCTACTTGGCTAATGTTGTCGGGCTATTTGGTCTTGCTAAACCGAATGTTCTATTTGAAATTCGAACTGCAACATCTGACAACACTTTACTTGCACTGATAAGCTCAGGCGACATACCTGAATATAGCAGCATGACTTGGACACAGTATGGCATTTCATTTGTAGCAACAAACACCTCAGTCATCTTATTAATGATTTCAACTACCGCTAATGGAGCAGGGAACGATATGGCCATTGATGATATTGCCTTTCGCGCCTGTTCAAATGCAAGTTCTGGTGTCTGTTCAACAGGTTAAGACATCAATACTATTCAAAGAAGAGTCATTATCATCGACAGCCAATACTTCAAACTTGATCCGAAGAGTACTATTGTACTTATTTTTCTAGTTGAATCCTGATTTGATCTTTGTGTGCTTTTTGTTACTCTTTTCTTTAGCCATTCAACAATTAATGTCTGATTTTCTTTGTTACGCGTTAAAATAAAAACTAGGGTGTGGGCATGGGCATAGGAGTTGATGTCAGCTATGCCCACACTCATACCCTGAGTCACTTCTCCAAAAAATTGATGTAATATTTAGCTCTATTTTCAATGTGAGCCCTGTTTCACTGGTGTTGAAATACTAAGCCAATATTCGATTCTGTAGGCATATGTGAAAAAAGATTATTTTTTCGACACAAAGAGTAAAGTAACAAAGCGATGTCAGTTATGAGAACCATCGATCGCGATGGACGAGCATGGTTTCACTTGAATATTTCATCATGGTTTTGAAACTACACAAGAAAATAATAGACGATACTCTTGTTGACAAAATAGGGATAGCACTTTCCCTTTAGTTTTGCTTTCGAAAAGGAAAGAAAATCGAAAATGCTACCTCTGATTATAAATATATAAAACTACTAGTTAATAATAATTAACACAATCAATTGTAACTTCATGCTATTTCTTCAAGGAATTTGTAATATTTTCTTGCAAATCAATGAAAACTTGATCAAAATTTCATCAGTCGACATCCTTACATTTGTTTAGCTTATAATTTACACTTTCAAATTTTTACCCCTATCAAAAGATAAGGGTGGATGTGAGTGTAACTTTCTCTTAGCATATACTCTGTGCCCACATCCAAAATAATTCGACACTGAAATTCTATTCCTTTATTTCAAAATATATGCTCGAATAAACCTCCAGTATTGCTTTTTGTTGTTGAAAACAACTACCTCCGATCAATTGTACAGTAGTTGTTCGGAAGGCATTCCCAGCTACGTATTTCATAACGCATATGAGAAAGAGGCAGGTGGATAGGTTTGTTCTCTTGCGTTCTAATTACCTTGCGATTTTATACGAAAATGAATATGTCTTTTTCCATTCATACGATTGACTCACCACTGCAAACCATCTGACAGCTTTTTATTTAGTGACTCGTCTCTGTCTTTAGCGAGACAAAGAACGCAGTCGTGGACGGTCTCAAAGAGAGTGATATTCTTCCTTCGCTTTGTTGTCGACATACGATTACCATAAAAGGAAAAAAAGAAAGAAATAACAACATTATCATACATCATCTCGATTCTTTTTGTTTTGACATATCAGCAACACGCAACATATCATCGGATTCAACCTGTCGTTCGTATAAAAAGATAAATGAATTTGGAATCGTTGTCTAATGAGTTATTACTTGATTTATTCGAGTTTCTCTCAGTCGTTCATCTTCTTCGTGCATTTTATGACCTCAATACTCGCTTTAATGAATTACTTTTCGTTCATTTTCGAGTCTATGGTCATCTCAATTTTCAGTCTGTGTCTAAACGAGATTTCGATATTATCTGTCAAGAATATTTGCCGCTGATGTTTGATCGACTAATATCACTTCGACTTTCGAACAATGATGAGACTCCACAACAAATTGCTCATTTCTTCTCATATGATTTTACTTTTCGTCAATTTACTCAATTGCGATCGCTTTCATTATTACATTGTTCGAAGGAGACAACAATACAAATAATCAACGAAATTCGTCCTCTGTCTAATCTTACTCATCTCAATTTTATCCAATGTCACTTTCTAAATAAACAATATGAGACGACAGAAATGATCAATACCATTTGGAGTCTACCGAAAATTACCCATTGTCACCTTGGTGAGATTTTTATCATACCTGGAGAATCATTTTCGAAACTAAGAGTGATTTCATCATCTATGGAATATCTTTCGGTCACAATAATCAATTGTGATTTGAATGAATTGAATCATCTTTTTCAACACACACCTAATCTTCGACAACTTTGCGTATCTATGATCGATGATTGTTCTATAGGCCAAAATCAATTATCACCTATTCCATCGGTGACCAACTTGAAGATATCTGTTCGAAGCTCGCTAAATACTTTATTGAATATTTTACATAACATGCCCAATTTATGTCAATTGACAGTTGAGACGTGGCGTTTTAGCGACTTAAATGGACATCGATGGGAGCAGATTATTACTGACTATTTGCCAAAGCTCAAAACCTTTCATTTGAAAATGCAGATTGCACTCAATCATGATGAGGGTATCCAAGAAAAAGTCAATGAATTGATAGATTCGTTTCAAACTTCATTCTGGCTTATTGAACATCAATGGTTTATACGATGTCATTGGATTCCACGTAATCGATGTAGTATGATTAATATTTACACATTACCCTATTCATTTCCTTACTTTGCTACTTTTGCCAAAGTTATATCAAACTCGACTTGTCCTCGCGAAAGCGATTATTGGTCTTACAATCATGTACACACTGTTTCTCATTGTAATGCTCCTATAATTGGATCATCGACTTTGTCTCAAATGCATTTTCCCAATGTTAAACATCTTTCTGTCACACTTCGTTCGAATGATCAATTTTGGTCTACTATTTCAACATTCGATCAATTGATCTCACTTGATATATCGCTAACTAATAATGACAATAATGTTCGATCTCAACTACAAACAATTCTTGATCGAGCATCTTGCCTCTATTCGTTAAAAATCAAATCTTGGTTTGATTTCGAAGTACCTCTTGTCAATCATACGAGTTCATCTGTTCGTCGACTTGATTTGCAAGGATGCTTTCGATATCAAACTGAACAGTGGTTCAATAGTGAAGAATGTGCTAAACTGTGTCATTCACCATTGGGAATTCAATGTGAAGTCCTTCTAATTCGAGTTGAACATCGAACGATAATTATCGATATTCTCAATCTATTGACTCATCTTCGAGCGTTAAATATCAAATGTCGAGATGATAATTACAATAAATCTGATGAGCAATTATTATCGACAGAAGAACTTCTCCAATGGTTAATCGATCGTCTTCCATCAACATGGAAAATTGGAAGAGTTCCACACTCACTCGACTGTATTCAAATGTGGATTAACTGATATGAGACAAAGGAGGAAACATGTTGACATTCATCTTGAAGTACAGATAGTTTTCATAAACTATATTCAACTTTTTTTTCATCGTGATTCATTTTGAATGAACTCGATATGAATGCGAATTTCGAACACCAAAGAGAAAATTTTTGTATTTCATAAAATAAAACAAAAAATACACGAAAAATTATATCTAATAATTTAGCAATAGCTAGCATATCAATGATACATCGACTGTGTTACCCATTGCTTGTCGATCTTTATTTAGAAATTTAACTAATGTTTGTAATAATAGAAACGAGATTAAAAACATGATTGATTATTATTTTAATTACTAAATGACTCTTTCAAAACCAGTAAACTTTGCTTTTATATCTTTAAGTCAACAAAAACTTGATCATGATTTATGATCGCATCAAAACACTATTGTATAGGTGCTAGTGTAGGAAAATCTTTGAATTATGGTTAATTTGATAAAGAGATTTTTATTATCAATTATTTTCTACAGAATATTTTCGTCCTCATCATTTGTTTATTAATTATTTAGTAAAGATAGTGAAAATAAAGAATGTTTTGATTCATATTGAAAGCTTATCATATCACTATCACGTAGTTGACGACATTCTGCTTGGTTATTTCAATGATTTATGCAATGTTCACTATTCATCAAACGTCCAAAAGCGGCTTCTGAGTGAAGGTGAGAGTCTTCTTCCACCGACAGTCACACCAAACAGTTTCTTTTAGTCAGTACTACAAAAGCGAAGAAACTTTTTTTTTCATGATAAAAAACAGTTCAAGTTCGACACAATAACTTTTTTATCATTCATTATAAAAACTCTGCAAACCTTCGCATGTTATAGTTTTCATATTAAGAAAAAAATTAAAATACGAACTCAAGATGATAATATACGAATCCACCATAACTAATCTTTATTTAAACATCGTGGATTCTATACTTTTCAAAAATTAAAATATTTACTGACTTAAACCTTTTCATATGCTCCACTATCAGTTTTTAAAATGTATTTTCACTAGAGAGGTAGGAAATCATGAAAAGTTGTCGAGATCGATGTCGAGACTATGATAAAAAACATAGTTTCTGAACTGAGAAGAAAGATTATAGTTAAATGTTCTATGGTCTTAATCCAATTATGTTATAAATCATACCAATTAAAACATAATTCAAGAGAATTGACAAAAAAGCACTATTTGTTGACTAAATAAATCAAAATACGAGTAATGAAGAATAGTTTTATATATGATAAAAATAAATTACGTAATTGTTTTCTCTAAATTGGAACTGGATCTAGAAAACTGAATCTTGCACATCTCTTATTTTCACTATTAGACGTAAATCTCATTTAGCATAAATTCAATTAACATTTCAAGCATTTCGATCTGAAAATTGTAATTTTCAAAAACCGTTTTGCTTCCTCTGTTTTAGAGTATAGAAGGGTGTGGTTCCAACACTCACATCTTAATTTAAAATTGCAGGTAAGCGAACATTTACTTTCTACAAGCACAAAAACTTTGTATGCGATACAATAGCCACAAATTTCGATAGAGCCAAATTGATTTTCAGAGAAACATCTAGATAGAGGCTAGTTTTCTGCACGGGTAAGAATTTTTACTTTACATAAAAACGTACACTCATGAGTTTCTTTCATAACCAGCAACAAGAAAAAAGGAAACCATCTCCAATTCTACAAAAAGACAATTGATTCAGGATTTACTTGATTGTTGTTCTACTTCTAAAATCCCATCAGTTTTGACAAGCATATGTTTATTTGATACTGATAAAGCTGGAATGGAACGCAGCATTGGTGTAAAACCTCATAATTGTGGGTACATAAATGAATGCTTGATTCATCAGGAAAAGACCTATTCTCATTTTTGATAATTCATTTTCCTCTTCATGTGTTCCATTACTTCACCATCATTTGTACATGAATTTCGATTAAAAACGAATTCTCTTGGGAAAAAAATATCATTTTCCACTTCTATGTCCTGTTCTCAAGTACAAGCAATTGCTCGATCATGATCGAAACAATTTTTATTCCTTTGCTTTTATTTCTTCTTCACAAACAACACGCAAAAATAAAAACAAATTAAATGTGCCGCATGATCCTAAATCTTCAATTTTAACAAAACGAAACAAACTTGTCCGTTTCGATTATCTCTATTATGCTCACTATTCATTATACACGAATCCAATAAGACACTACGCGAATTAGACAGTCAATATATGCTAACATTAAACTCAAATAACACACCAACTACAAAAAAAAATCAGATTCAAAATGTTCATCACTTCCACAAAAGTAAAAAGGTCTCATAATATCAATGTCTATGAGAAATGGTATACAAAGCACGTTTTTCGATCATCACACAAATGAAAATATCATCCTCGTTAGTGTTATAAAATGTTAGCGTTATGATTGCTCGACACACTCACATCCTTTAGTTCCTTGTATATTGTATATTCAGAGATTTCATTTGATACAACGCACGCTAATTTTTAACGTTCTTCACTAAACAACAATAAAAGTTGAATGAAAAAATTCTCATGAATTTTCAATAGAACTGACCATTCTCATTTCTCTTCAACTTTACGATTCCTTTTCTTGAACGTTTCAAGTCTTTCATTTTCTCAATTACCAAATAATTTATGTACAAAATAATGATGAAAACTTTTTATCCTGAAGATCATACGTAGAGTTGATACGATATGTCTATGAATCATCATCGATTAATAATAATGGATTAATCTATTTCTTTGAATATCTCTGTCAAAACTGCGCATAAAACCAATGAACTTTATTTTTTTCATCTTTGAATCACATTTTCAACAAAATCAATAGAATTTATCTATGAGTTACAGAGCAGCGACTCCACCATACACCGCTAAAACAAATACATGATCGTTGTTTTGACTAATCGCTAAGTGAACATGTGATAAATATGTATAATCAAGAAATGAAAATTGATCAAAGTCTGCATCTCCATACAAACAGTGGCATGATGCATGATGGAAACCTTTTGTTATTTTAGCCAATTTTTCAATATTAACCCGATAGAATAAAATGGGATTTTCTTGTGGAATTGAACGTTGTAATTGTTCAACACATTTGTATAGTAGAGAATGATTTTCCAAACTATGCAATGTTTCATCGGATAGACGTTCAACAGTTAATTGATGTGTATCAAAATCGAATATAAGGTGATTATAATAAACAATGTCATCTCGAACTTCATCTAGACTTGGACGACTATCTGAACAAGCACAAGGATTCCTCACACTATCTCCAGCTAAAATTCGACATAGACTTGTGCCACAACCTTGTTCAATTTGTTTTAATAAATTTTTACGATAACCTGATACATTATTGTAATCATATTCCCCATCTGTCGAATCGTCATCATTAATTATATTTGAACATGAATCAATAAGTGCTTGATCTTCATCGTCCAAAGCATGCTTTCGTTGATAACCGAGAATATTTGATTTAAGGAATTCATAATATTGATCATCACTATTCATGTCCCAATTGGATTTTTCATTATATAAGTCAAGAACACTTTTTATTGTAAAACGAAAACGTGATAGAAGATCTTGTCCAATAAATTGTGATTGATGACGATTTATCATATAAGCACGATCAACACTATGATTCAAATCAATCATTGGTTCTCGTTTATTTTTATCTTTTTGTTCAACACGATAGAGAGAACCATAACAATTTCGATTATAAAATACATCGGATAAAATTCTTTCCATATTCACTTCACATACTTCATGTGTATTTCTATCATAATGAACAGTATAAGTTGTTGAATCTTTTGTATGTCCTAATAGAAAAAAAGCATAAACGGCAGCAACACGACAACATTGATCAATATGTTTGTAGAAAAATTTCGAGTCCGAAAAACGAAATAATGTTTGACTACCATATTGAGTATCGATTGTTGGAATAAATTTTTCTCGAAATAAATTCTGTTCAAAGTTTTTCAATTCTTGACTTTCCCATACAATTTTCAATAGTTGAAAATTAGGAAAAGCAAATATTAAATGTTGAATGTCTTGTTTATCTAAGTATTTAAATATAGAAAGCCATATTTCAGGTGGTAATTGTTTGATTAATTTTTTTTGCTCATTTGAATTTATAATTGATTCTTTTGGTTTTAGTTCAAGTAAACGTGGATAACAATATCGAATAGATAATGAACGTTCATATAATTCTCCAATATCAGTTGTTTTTACTGATTTATTCGACTTATTATTATGTATATTCAATTCATTTTGTTGTGCTTCACGAAAAAAATTTAAACATGCTTCATAATCATCTTTTTCTTCTGAAGTTATTGCAAATCCTAATGGTTTTTCTTTTCGTTTAACAAGTACATCAGTTCTTAATACAATACGCTCTTTGACCTCACTAGAATTGTTTATTTCTGGTGCTATAGCTTCATGTAAAAGATTATGTGTAAATAGAATAGCATGACCTTTTTTCGGTTTTATTGTCATACATTCATAACCATAATCTAATCCGCCGTAAGATTCAATTTCTTCCTTAATTGTTAATCCTTTGACAGGAGACTTGGGTGTTTGTTTTGGAAAATAAAATTTTGTTTCGCCTTTTTCAAAATTATCATTTAAGTAAATAATTAAACTTAGTAATGATCGTTCATCAGCACTAGGTGAATATTGTGCATCTTTATGGAGAGTAAAATATTCATTTTCATGATATTTATTTAATCGCATTGCATTATTAACACTATTCATTTCCCATGTGCCTTGAACATTGAAACCTAATGGTTTTGTATTTGAAATTAATTTGGTTATTCGATTACTAAATTTTAAACGTCGCCAAAGTGTTCGAGCAAATCGATCATCAATAACTATTAATCGCCAATTATTTCGATTTTGACTATCATATTGATTGGTCATATGTTCGAATTTTTGTTGATTAATATTCGTAAGAATTTCATCACATTCATTGGTATCCAATAAACTACCCAATTCGATTAAAATTAAATCATCTTGTTGTTTGATTTTGTTTAATTTGATACCATTTGGTAGTCTTGTTGGCACAGAATAATTTGTAAGTAATGAATGGACAACACTCAAATCGATGTTTCCCAGAAAATGATTTTGATTCATCTAAAAAATCAAGATAGATCTATATGCGTTACTACTGTTGCTTGCTTTCTACTCAATCGTATGTAAGAAAATTGAGTTATTTTAAAGCGTTTTATCGCATATATTCTTTTATTTTTATCTCAACGTCACATATTATTGCTCTATTTCAATGTCATATAATTGCTCAACTCCAATGAAATACAATAGCAGGAAAAAACACGTGATTTTTTTCTGTTCTCCTCGATTTTCTTTTTTCTCTAGTTTTTTCCTATCACATGTGAGGCTTTTTTTTATCTACTGAGCGTAGTACATTGATTCGAATTGCAATATTGACTCAAAGTAAGTCGCAACACGGATGCCATCGAAATGCGATTCAATCTATTATAATTATGTAATTGAATTCCCCTTATTTCAGCATATAGTAAAAAAATTAATGTTGTCGGTGTGATATTGTAAAATTAGTACTTTTCTGCTCTATCCTTCATTTAAATTTTCAGATTATTCTTGATCTGAGTCAAGTGAAACATGTGCTCTTATTGTCATTAGTTGATAGATCCATAGTGATATTAACTTGGAATAACATGCCTTATCTCAATCATATTTCTATCGAAAAAAAATCATGTCAAAGAATCTTTAAGAGCATCATTACCATTTGAATCTTCGGCTTCACTAAATGATATACTTGCTTCGTGATTCAGATATGCTTGTTGTTGCTTTTTACCAAATCAAATGCAGTCAATTTTACAAAAAGAAAAGAATACACGGTTAAATCTCACAATCTATGTTTTTCGATAGAGATATAAGAAAGAATTTTTGTTTAAATTATTTAATCCACCCGTTTCTCTTCTTCCTCATTGCCAATATCCGAATAATCAAGTTATGGAACAAAAGCATTAAGATGATTATTATTTGATGATCGGAGTAAAAACATTATATTAAACAGACCTAATGAAAATAGTATATGCCACAATGCATCTGCAATCGTATTTTATTAAACAAAAGTCTTTCCAATTTGTAATATATTTAGTTAACACTGGTAATTAATTGAACAATATCTTTTTTTTTATTAAACGTTTTATTCGTTTTGTTGCAATTAAATATGTCACTATCCAATGATAAATAGTTCGATCAACAAAAACTAATGGAATTGATACTATTAATACTTTATTATTTGATACATCACTTTTTTGTATTCAAAACGTGTTCTAAGTATACTATAACAAAGTGTAACAATACTAACAAGCATACGTAATACAGTATGTTGTAATAATAAGATCAAAGTGAACTTTATATCTATAGAAATTGAAAAATTAATATTTAAAATTAGTTTATTTTCACTATTTACTCATGTCGATTAACAGTAGCGTATTCAGCAAAATAAATGCCTTTTAAACTGATGAAAACTGATGGAGAAATTCCAAAAAGATAATAACCATCAGCCCATATTCGTAATCGATTTAATGTTTGTTTCTTTAAAACAGACATTAATGTTTATTGTTCATCATTAGATTTTATTATTGTTTGGTCAACAGCGCGACGACTAGGAATATAATTTTTTTTAAATATTAAATTAAAAATTTACATAACAATAAATATTTAATTTTACATTGATTTGCAGTCATTTATTCGTGTTTTAAAATTTGTTCTCTTAATTCTACAGCTTCTTCTGGTGAGATTACTGGTCCTTTTATGTTGGTATATTCATCAAAATATAATTTCTCCTAGACAATAACAATCAGTTGTTTGCATCGTAAACGTTCTTGGCTCTGCTTGCTTCCATAGATCATTATGAAATTTTTGTTTTTTCATATTCTTTTCTTATATTTCTTTTAATTTTACCTTGAATTTCATTTGTATTTGCAGATGACTCACGATAGCGAATTTTTAATTGAATTTTCGTATCACTAGTTAAAAAAACGATCTACTACTGAATATGATCCACTAAGTGATCAAGACAATGTTACAACTCTGTTCAACAAGAGTAGTTGATGAATATTTCATCAAGTAGAATAATAATAATAATAAGTAAATGAGAAAATATTTTTTCATGCTGATTATTAATTTGAAAAGGTAAATTGGCAATCACTCTTTTTTTTCTTACTATTCTTTCAGGTTTAATATGTCGTTTTTTTTCGTAGGATTAATGATTTTGAAAGAGAATTACATGAGTAATTGCCCGTCAATTGCTAATCAATCATTATGAACATATAAAAAAAACACAACTATATTAGATTTTACTCCAAATATTAATCGAAACAGACACTTCGAGTAATCTTTCTTTACATGAAAGTCACTGTTTTGTGTTTGACTAGTCGATTTAAATTCATGAATAAAAGATGACAATGATATGGTTCTATCAATGTTGTTCTTAAATTGATTACTTTTCTAGTTAGGTTAACATTGCAATGTCATAACAAATCATTTTCCCGGTGGATTAGTTAAATGTGTTTGTGAAATATCATCATATGATGAAGATCCTTTTGAACATGAATTTTTTATTCGAACTTCTCAATCATTTCGATTGTTGGACAAATTAACTATAATTGATGAGAAAGCGCAAAATAATAAACAATGTGAACAATAAAAAAATCATAATAAATATTTATCAATCATTGAATATTCTCATCTTAATCGCCTTATTCTTCATGAGGCTCATTAAAAGTTATGTTGAATAATTTTTACTTGATACCAATGCTAGGTCCTTTTCCCGTTTTTCTTTATTATTATTTCAATCCTTCTTCCATATATAAAAAACAACAATTAACCCATAAAAGAGCAACAAGATATATGCTTTTCTCTCTCTCGCTCTCTCTCTCTCCCTCTTGCATTCTATACCTTCTCTTTATCTGCAGAATGAAAATACTATAGAAAGAGGAGGAAGAATGTCAGTAACATGAAACCATGATACTATAGAGGGACTGAGAAAACTTTCTTATGTCAGGAGACGTTCCTTCTGACATAACAACCAAAACATATTTATCATACGGTCTTTATCTTTGTATCGATTATTGACAACTGGAAAAAATTACACATAACTTTAAAAGAGATATAACACGGATTAACTATTCAAAAATAATTTATGTATATGGAAATAATATTTCTCGATTTCCAAAATATTTCAAAGACTATTTTCTTGACGGAATTACAAATGTATTTTGATTATCATCAGTTATTATTTAGATAAAATTAATTTCGTAGAAATGAATGTATTAAAATCGATAAAAAAATTCTTTTATATTTAATTGACAAGTATAATGATCTTTGCATACATATCAGAATGATCACACATGATATGTGATTTATGAAAAAATAGTTTTTTTGGAAGAGAAAAAAAAAATTTATTTAGAATAATATCTTGAAGTTTAGTTACTTGGTATCATATAAGACAACACACTTTTTTTAATTAAAAAATGAATAGAAAGTTGAGGATCTGAGAAAAAAGTGGTTAGCGTAATTTCTGCTAAATTAAAACGGTAAAACACGAAATAACTATTTTATTAGTGTAGAGATCTGTCTAGTAATATAGCTTTTTAATGTATCTATGTAAACTTATAGTTTTTTTGTTTTGTAATTTGGAAAAATATACAGTAGACTTCACTTTTTGAGGCTAGATCTACGACGATTTGTAGGAGAACGAAACAGAATCATGTTAACTGAAGACTGGAGATGGGCAAGTCAAGTTAAAACTATTTTTGCACTTAAATGCATATTTGATTCACATTAATTGCGAGGTAAATTAATTCATCAATCATTTATTTATTTCACATAAACAAATACAGTGAAGCTTTAAATCTCTTTCAAAAAGTTATTTATAGCACTAAAGTAATATGAAAGAAGTTTCCACCTAATATATATAAAACAATTTCGTTTTTTCTTTTCTAAATATTGCACTGAATGAGAAAAATGACGCGATCGCAGTACAATGTTTAGAAAAGAAAAGAAAAAAACCAAATTGTTTTATATTTATTAGTTGGAAACTTTCGTATTACTTAAGTGCTGAAAACGACCTTTTGGAAGAGGTTGAAAGTTTCACTGTACTTTTTTGTGTGAAATAAATAAATGATTGATGAATTAGTTTATTTACATATATTTCATCAAACGACATTGGATTCGAATTACGTGAAGTTATTTTTTGTTCTAGTATGAAAGTTCTATTCTTTTATTTGTCATATAGCTATCATATAGAAAAGTGCGCATGGTACTATTGCAGATTGACGACACCTTATGCGTTAATTGTTCTAATTGACAGGGCATGCCAAAGGGTGTGGGTGCCGCAGTGTTGTTTATCTGTCGTAGTACTGTTCTCTCATTAATAGTACAGTCGAATTTTCTCAATAAGGTATGAAGTCGATAGAGCTTATCAAGCTCTATCTTAATCTGTGCATATGACGGTTCTTATTAGTTTTCTGAAAACTATATGAATTTCCGGATATCAAATTGCTTTTTGAAAAATCCTTTGAATCTTAAGAAAACTGAACAAGCTTGCACTAACAGTTATTTCTGTACGACGTTACTTATATAACTGAGGGTGAGAGCGTGAACATAGACACGTGAAAACATACATGGAGCATCTCTCTTGCTTTTAGATGTGCGAAATTGATGTCTTTACATTTTATTCTTCATTAAAACATCGTTACTTGATTGTTTCGTAACTTTTATGTGTATAACATTAATCCGACTTTTTTCAATATTTCAAGTGATGACATTCACCTTGATTCATCTCACTGGCTTTTTCCCCTACATTCTAGTTGTCAGTCGACAAAGGATTTTTCCCATGACTCTCATTTCTTTTCCCTGTGAAATTTCCCAGTGTCATGTTGTACCCAATAAGACGATGGGCCACTTATTCGTCATAAACAAGCAAGTATTAGAAAATTAGACAAGTATCGTACTATTATTTCATTCTGCGATGATTTATTTCTCTTCCTTTCATTCACGTAACTTTTATGGGTTCTGCTATGGTAGATTTTCCTCTTTGATATCTACGACCGAAGAAAGATTCAGAATAGAAGAAAAAAAAA